GGTCGCTTCCGTAGCCGCCACGGTCACTGGCGTAGCCTCTTTCACGATCGCTTGCATAGCCTCGTGAATCTCGGTCACTCATGTAGCCTCTCTCGCGGTCACTCATGTAACCACGTTCGCGATCGCTCATGTAGCCTCTCTCTCGGTCGCTCATGTAACCTCGCTCACGGTCGCTGGTATAACCTCTTTCTCGGTCACTTGTGTAGCCTCTTTCCCGATCACTTGTGTAGCCTCTTTCTCGATCACTTGTGTAGCCTCTTTCCCGGTCGCTTGTGTAGCCTCTCTCGCGATCACTCATGTAACCTCGCTCACGATCGCTCATGTAACCTCTCTCTCGGTCACTCATGTAACCCCGTTCTCGGTCACTCATGTAGCCTCTCTCACGGTCACTCATGTAGCCACGTGAGTCCCTGTCGCTGGTGTAGCCTCGCTCTCGGTCACTCATGTAGCCAGACCGGATGCTATCTTGTCTGTCATAGAACCTGTTAATGAATATAAATAATAAAACTGTATATTTATCAACAGGTTCGTAAACAATGAAGTCACAAGAGAATAAATGAGTTTACTACCAACAGGTCGCAATATTTTATGGGTCTATCCATAACCAGATTGTTGGGTTATGTTTTTTAAGGGACTATAAATACTTCGTAGCCAAGATTTTGTGAGGGTGTTTCATTATAAAGAGACTATATAATAAAGGATGGCCTAGTTATCTTCCGGTGTAGCCAGACCCCAGTCACACATAATTCATAAGATAGGATGTGGTTTTATATTGTGGTTATCTAGGATCTGACACGTCTTATTATCCATTTGCATTTGTATTTTAAATGCATCTAAGAATTATTTTGAACTAAGATACCCAAACACTGACTATTATGATGTCCATGGAACACAAAGTAGATAGATCACTTAATGTGTTCCTACGCATTTGATCTGCAATTGTGGCATCTGTTGATACTATCATGTATGGTCACAGGGAAGGAACAAGCATAAAATGCATATTTTACACACACAAAAATGTGGAATTCTAAGTGACTGCAACTGTGTAAGTGCAACAATGAGAAATTTCACTTATCTTGGATTTTTTCCTATCTTCTTGAGACAACTCTAAGCTAGCAATCAGGCCATTGTTTCCCAAGTCCCCTCCTAAAATATCCATACCATCTTGACCATTTAAAGTATAAGAAATAATTACAGGTAGTAATCTCTTTTGTGGATTTTGTAAAAGGTATAAATCAAATCAAATCCATGCAAAGGGAAAAAAGACATAAAACTTTTAGATGAACTGTCTTATCACTATAGAAATTTCCAAGTAAGGATATGATTTACAAGAAAAGGAATATCTTTGTACACCCAATTTTCGAAGTAAAAATTGGGCCTGAATACAGCTGAATTACTGTAGTAAAGAAAAAAAATTGCTATCTGACTTTCAATGGGATATTAATGAAAATAAATAACTTTTCAACATAGGTTCTGCATATACATTATTTATATCTTTAATTACATTTATAAAGACTAAAATAACTTCAGTGATGTTAGAAATTTTTTCTCCACATACAGCATTTACAAAGTACAGTAACAATTGAGCAAGATCTGCCCTAACATTACCTTAAAACTATAATATACCCAGAACCTTAACTTTGCTCTTGAATATAAAAGTGAAAAAATACAAAATTCCATTACAAAGAAGCTGTAATTAAACTGCATATTCAGTTTTTTTTAGATTTTAATACTAAGACATAAAAATGAAATAATCACAATTCTCATCGTGATTATTTCTTTTCAATAATTTTGCATTACTGTTAAAAAAAACTTACCTGCGTTCATGATCACTCATATAGCCACGGTCATACAAATCACGTCGACTCCCATAGCTGTCATTACGATCACTAAAGTAGCCACTGTGATCACGGTCATCTCGGAGTGTCGCTGTGGGTAAGGATCTTTCTGACCCTCGAGCACTGGCTGGCAGCATCCCGTGTTTGTTGAGGCTCCCTGTGGCAGAGAGGTTAGTCAGTGGGATGCCAGGCAGCAGGGAATGAAGCGATGCTGCAGCCCCACACCTGCCACTCTGGGACCCTGGCTGCTGCCTGCCACTAAACAGGTATAAACCATCGTCCATGTCTAGGTACAAACAGTACTAGCGCAAGCGAGAAAAGCTGCAACATCGCCTAAAGTTACACTCTGATGCAATGCGAGTTTAAACAATCATGCGAGGAATTTCTACAACAAAAATGATCATTTGCCATGCAGATATAAATGATTTACTTTGACAAAAAAAAAAAAAAACTTGCATGAAAATCAGGTCCAATTATTCTTTTACCTTGAAGAGAAAAATAAACAATGAAAAAACTGCTAATTTAGAAAATTCATGTTTACTAGGAACCACTCTATTTTTCTTTCATTTTACTAGTAATGAAAACAAAGTTAATTACAGGTTTTATATTAATCATATATACACATATAGTTTGGTTTAAGTAGTGATTATTAGCAGAACATGCTTGGGATGTGGAGGGTGGTGGACAGAGACTACCATGGGTCATCAGCCACAACTGAACCACAGTTTTCATGATGTGTTCTTCACCCTGTAACCTACCTAGTATGTTTCCTAAATGTTCATATTGTACTATCCAGATTAACGCAGTGGGGATAAAGCTTCAAGGACCAAGGATGTGGTGCAAGGACTGCATAGGAAAGGATATGAGGAACAGGCGCAGGTTTAAATATCTGATATTGTTGTCAAAATGATAAAACAAAAAGGGTAGATATCCATTGTTAGGGGCACTGTCTAATGTACTCGTAATTTTTGTTCTTGAAACTTACTGCCATTTGCTTCCATAAATGAAGACACAGTAAAATAAACTGATCTCATAAAAATTGCAGCAATTATGTACACATGCAAAAAAATTTTGACTGCATACTTAGATGACTTTTTTCTCATAATTCTTAAAAGTCTTGGTAAAAAGCCTTTTAAGTTTACTAAATATGATCAAAACATTATCTAAATGTCTCACTTTGATACAGTAATTCTGAAAAGCTTTTTTTGCCAATATAAAAATGAACATACTAGAAAAAAGTAGGTTGATAACAAAAGTATGGACTTATTAAGACAAAGATTTTGATACATGCAGTTGCAAGTAATTTTGGGTAATTTTTTTTTGTTGTTATGATGACTAAGTCTTCATAAAATACAACATAAGCTCAGCTTACTTTTCATATTTTTTCTCTCTTTTTCAATTATGGTATTTGTTTCATACTGAATACTTATACAAACTCTTGGAATTTGACAGACAAAAGAAAGGTTGGCATTAACTTTCTTTTTTTTTTATCTTTTTATTTTTTTTGCTCCAGGAAGGTACACAATCAGAAGGACAATATACCATTCATCATTATGCTGACTGATCTTTGGATTAGCCTATCAAAAGATAATAAAATCTTATGACAAATGATATTTGATCCATTAAGCTCTATAGTAAGTACATAATTTCAGTAGATGATGATACAGCACACACAAAACATTTGTTAATAGCAATAAAAATATTGGGATATGGTATTACTTGTATCACTGGTACATGGAAAGACTCTTGAGAGAAGTGAGTTATATAGGAGAGCAAAACTCTGAAGACTGGAAAACAGACATAAGAATAAAACTGATTGATGCTACACTGCGAGAGAAATAACCAAAGAAAATATGAGAATAGATTTATAGGAAAGTTAAGAGCTTAAGGCTTTAATTTACACAATACAGCTGATGATAATATTACAACAAAATGAGTAATATCCACGGAATATAGTGCAATTACTGATGAAAATGTACGACAAGAATCAAATGAACTGAGCTTACTTCAGAATAAGTGACGTATAGCAATGATACTGTATAAGCAAGGTCCTGAACTATTCATAAGAAAAGATCTCCTGTACATAAAACAACCATATCATTGCACTTGGATAAATAGGAAATTAAGTCTACACAGAAAGTATTGAAAGTTTGATTTTGGCAAAATTGGTTCAGTGAAATTCTGAAAATACAGCAAAGGCTTAGGCAAAATAATGGTAAAAAAATAAAATTCATATATGTCATCAAAAGTAACAGCTGTTAATATCACAGGGTATAGGAAAGAACAACAATTAGGAGTACTTAGAAAGTATTTCATCAGAGAGGTAAATTCAGAATGAGAATTTACCAGAAAAGTTGAGTTATATGTCAGAGGGTTGTCTGAGGAATAATATAGGAAAAGGGATATCTTCTTAAAAATGGCACTACGAAGCTTGAGATAAAGTTGTATCAGTATAGTTCTAACCTATACAGGAAGATGAGAGAGATGGAATGCAGCTAGAAGGGGCTATACTATAAAGTACTATATCTGGGGCAAGATTAAAGTTGTACCAATTTTTATTCTTTAACATTTTTTTTTCTTTTGCCATAGCAATACTGAAATGTATTTTTTGTCTAAGTCTTACGATTATCATATCTATGGTAATATTTATACTTTGTAAGTTCAAGAAAATAATTGAAAGAATAGAAAATGAATTCTTTATCTTTTCACCTGAGTTCATGTATCTGGAGATCTTTTTTACAAAGTATTAGTAATATATATAAGGACATTCTTAAGGAATGGATATGACAAAGTCACTTTCCTTTCATACAAGTTAAGATTTTTATATATCATACAAAATGAGTGCTCTTTTTTCACTTTTTTGTGCTCTGCCTTCTTAATGATGGTTGATTATTTATGGATATTTCACCGACATCTTAATTAGAAATCAATGACATGAGATTTATAGTTATCCAACATTACTGATTATTCTTGCAGGACAACATATTCATAGTAACTTCATGCTTTACAATGCAAACTAATCAACATGCATGTGCAAATCATGGACAACAAAAAATGTAACTTCTCATAAATTTCATTGTTCATGAATTCTAACTACTTCAAAGCTATTTTCTTACTGTATATATTTATTGGAAATGACTAGGTATTGCTTGGTTTATCAAC